TCCGTTTTTATTTTGGGCATGGCCTGTTGAAGTAGTTTCTGATGTTCAACGAAACGCCAAGACCTGCAGCTTTGTTAATTACTGTTATTTTTTTAAATTCCATTTTGCATAAAACAGAATGACCGAAAAATAGGGGTGATTAAATTATTTTTTTAGTAATAGTCCAAATCCTACATAATACATTTTTATTATAAGCGCCGGTAATCGGTATATGCTCTTATATTTAAAAAAAAAACCGTTTATAATTTTAAATTTTATTTTATGCGGGAAATTTATGTCTCGCTGTTATTAAAATAGAATATTATACAGACGTGGGGGGCAATCCCCCCCGTCCCTCTCTAATATGTGTTTGCCTATATTTAATGTTTCCAACTTATAAGTCACCTATGWCTTATTTATTTCTTGGTCTAGATTTAATTATTTCACTATATAACTCTTAATATATGTATATATTTTAAATTAATTTCGTACTAGGTAGCAATCATATAATATTCATATTTCATACCTCCAACTCGTTCAGTGCACTATCACCCATAACGTGTTGTTTACAATCTGTTTTTCTACTAATTTTATTAATTCCAAGTGAAAACACTATCAGTACGTACAATACACATTGATAAATATTTTTTAAATTATATTTCACATACCTGAGTGAAGTATTTGTACCTTAAGGCCCCTAATAAAATTATTTACATTGAATAAATAAATTAACCACATGAAGGCTATATATTAAGAATGACTAGCGTGGGAAATAAAAATAAGTCACTCTAAGAACTGGTAACTTTTAATTTGATCTAACACGAGGACAGTAAATTTGTTAAGGCATTTTTTTTTTTATGAGATGGTTCTATTAATTAAACAATAATCTATCATATAGTTTTTATTCATTTTTAGAAAATTATTATTATTTTTTAAGTACTTTTCTGCACTTCTAAGTTGCTTTTCTSAGCACTGAGTTATCTGTTGTCTGTGAACTATGATATGGTACTTCCTATTCATGTGTTTCAGAGTCTTGTTCTTGTAAATTTCCAAATGTATTTAAAAAACCTAATTATTATACAATAATATCAATATGGCAAAATAATTAAATACAATAATATTAGGTACCTATATTATTGAATGGTAGTCTGTATTACTACCTAGTGACTACAAGCAATAATTGTATTCAATAAAAATAAAATGGATGCAAAAACGATTTTGTGAGTTGTCATTTTATGAACATGCGTTAAAGTAGTTCAAACCAATTTCTATTTTGTATGTGACATTTCAATATGGCAATGTATTTGCCTATCGTATTAATCTTTTAATTTTTTAGTGTGTTAATAATTTTGTTTTGATGTATGTTAAATAGTTATATTATAAATTTGTTACCGCCGTGAAATTTAAATAGGTACTTTATTATAATGTTCTACGCCCAGTCTCATCAAGGGCGTATTTGAGTCAAGACCAGGGGGAGAGGAGGTGAAACTAATTTTTCTTTTTTCACGTAAATAAATAAAAATATGAGTACCAGATTTAATTATTAAATCAATATTTAATAATTAAATCTATATATTATATATAATATATATATATATAAAATATATACCAACATTAGGTTGGTAAGTAGTCAAATACTGAAATTCTCAAATAACAAATTCAATTTTCCTTTTCTTCGTTTTAGATAATTTTTCGATTATATCATCAACTGATATAACAATATGCCTGTGAACATGCAGCAAAGCCAAACCTGTTAAGCGATGTTGGCCTATTCTGGAACGTAACTATGCTTTCAATCTACAAAAATATATTTTAGGCCAATATTAGCAAGTAAATAGTAATATAATATGTAAACAGATAATATGGTCAATTATTATGATTACTGTTTAGCGTAAAAATATACAAATATGCTGGCAAGCATAAAAATCTTATTATGTTAAGTACGATACCATTGAGATTTACGATATTTATCAAACGGAAATTGTTTTAATTAAATCAATGTATTATATAGAAAAAATACGAGTTATGGGGGGGTCGAATGCCCTCTTCGCCCCCCCCCTAAAATACGCCCTCGAGTCTCATATTATGCATAAATTAATTAAGGAATTGCCATAAAAATGTATTAATAATATAATGTTACGTTTCAGGTAAAAACACGTTTACTTTGTGTTCAATGTAGATAATATAGGTACACTATATTACAAAAACAACACAAGCTATTGTACAGACATTTATTGTCTCTGACTAACAGTGCGAATTGTACGCTCAGCAGATCACGTTTACCTCCGTTAGTTTAAAAATTAGAGTGAAATGACCTCTTATAATATTTTATTTCAAGATTATTATCTAGGGCAAATGTCCATGTAGCGTCCTCTTAAAGGAAACGCTGCAAATAAAATAGTTTAATCAATATCAAACATTTTAATAATTTACTTAACTAATTTTATGATCCTTTAGATAGTTTTTATGGGTTGACCGTGAATTAAATGATAAATTAATTTATGGTTTATATACCAACTAAATAGGTAGTGAATACATTTATTATAATAAATTATTTTTAATGTTTAAATTTTTAAACAAGACTAATGTATTTTGTGCTTGTTGTAAAAATTACGAAAGTTAAAATGTACCTAATACATTTTCTAAAAAAAATAATCATAAATTAAATGTACATTCACACTCGTCTTGTAGGGTTAGTAAAATCAATCATATTCATTTTTGTTTATTATATTAATGTACAATAAATCCCACAAAATATTTTGATAAAACAAATTAAATTTGCGTTTGTTTAAAAATAAAGCTGATAGAATATTTTTTATTATTATT